ACAGCGTCAATTCTCCAAACTAAAATCGCATTTGGCTACACTTTATCAGATATCGCTCTTCATGCTTCCGACAACTTTATACAGAGATGCCGTCTATATAAAGAGGGAGGAACACACACTCATATCCATCGCTAACCCCATCCTCATCCCTGCCCCCCTCTCTCTGGATAGATGTTTTATTGAGGTTTAGTTATATTCCTAATCAAATCTCTCAAACAATCACTCAATAAATCTCTCAATTAATTCTTTTCTGAAACTAGCCCAGTATAAAACCCATAAATCTCCGGTAAGTAACGTTCCATAATCTCGTCTTTTATATTTCTTTTTTCAATTTCTTCATGAATTTTGTTCTGGCGTGGGAAAATGCAAGAGCTTAGGGTTTTAATTAAACTGCTCGAATCGATGAATTTCCGGTGAAAATGCGTTTTTTTCTTTAATCCTTGGGGAATTACTTGCATTTTCGAGAAGTTTGGTCTGGGAAGTTATATTTTGTGATTATGAAGTGTTGTTGAATATGATTGATGGTAAGTATGGTGTTGAGTTCTTGAAAGAAAAAGAAAAAGAAAATCGCCAGGATAAAAAGAAAAATAAAACATCCGGGAATGATGATTTTGCCCAGGCCATTGCTAGAATTGCGGTTGCACAGGTATGCGAGAGCCTAGGGTATCAGAGTTTCCAGCAGTCTGCTCTCGACACCCTTTCGGATGTAGGGGTGAGGTACATTAGAGAGATTGGAAAAACTGCTATGTCTTGTGCAAATTTAGCTAATAGGAATGAGTGTAATGTGTTTGATGTGATTCAGGGGTTGGAGGATTTGGGTTCTGCTCAGGGGTTCTCTGGTGCTTCTGACTATAATCATTGTCTTTCTGTCTCTGGAGTAGTTAGGGACATTATTCGATATGTTGACGAAGCTGAGGAATTCCCTTTTGCATATTCAATTCCGACTTTTCCAGTTTTGAAAGAGAGAAAACTGTATGCAAGTTTTGCACAAATTGGTAAAAACCCTCCTAATGAATATATACCTAGTTGGTTGCCAATGTTTCCAGATCCTGAGACTTATGCAGATTCAAATTCAAGGGTCAAGAAAGAAGAAGAGCTTGCAGCGGAGAGTAAAATTGAAGAGCGGCACATGAAGGTGGACCGGTCTTTGTTGAACTTGCAGCAGAAATTGATCTGTAATGGGTTGGAAACAGGATTAGCTGATGTAAATGGGTATGCTGCTAAGGCACAGCACATAGTGGAAAGTAACCCCTTTCTTGCCCCGCCTCTTCAGTTTGAGGAAAAGGAGATGTCTTTACCTGTTCTTCCAGCTAAACTGATAGATGAGGCTACAAGGAAATTCCAGAATAACGCAGTTTTGGAAAACCATGTTTCTGTTTTAGAGCCATATGCCCCAGCCACTGAAGACATTGGGACCCATTCATGTAAATCTATGGAGGACAGAAGAAAGGTTCCATTGAATGGGAGGAACATGGTAAAATTTAAGTTGGGAAGTAGCAGGAAGTGCTTGGGTACAGAAATGAGCCCTTGGAATGAGGGAGTTGAGAAAGTTTCTCTTTGGTTTAGTGTCGATCATGATGGAAGACATGAGAAGAAAAGGAGAGCTGAGCAAATTATCAGGGAAAATATGGAAAATTCGCAGGGCATCACTAGTGGAAATTAGGCATAATTGTTTTAGACTCTATATACTTGTTTAGGGAATTGGCAGCTGCTACTTGTTCCAGTTAGTGATAGTCAAAGAGCTAGAGTTCTCTGCTTGGTCTTTACAGATTTTTAAAGATGAATTTTTCCAACTTTCGGGAGTTCTTGAGGTGTGTTGTTGGCAGTCACCGACTGAACATTTTATGATACTTCTTTATAATTAAAACTGGAATTTTTTGGAAAGTGTCTGGCCTCCCTTTATTATCTTTTTTTATCTCTAGAATGTGCAAGTGCACCAAAGATTGAATCCAGGAGTGTTTGAAACAAAATTCGGTGCTAGTGGTCTATTTAAGTGATTTTCACAAAATTTTAGTCAAAAGCTATGGTTCTTCCGTGACTGTTCATCAGGTTGAAAGATCTCAACTTCATTGTTCAAGTTAGGAAACTGGACAATTGAGATTACTTCCAATTTGCCACGACATACTCTGCAAGTATTCTGCAACGGAAAGGTAGTTTCATTAACATTCAGTATTGTTTTGAGATCTTGTAGTCTAGAGACGAACCATGTAGCTTTTCTTGATGGATGGTGCTCTAGAGAACAAGTGCATTTCCAAGTGGTCCACTCAACAGGGCGAAGCCAAAAAAGGTTTTTTAAAAAAACGACCCCTCCTTTCTGGATTGAGGCTTTTATGGTGTAGTTTAATTAGTTATAATTCCAATCAGTCTCTAATAATCACTCAGTCAATATCTCGGTCTCTGATTAAGCATTGCTCTTTCATTCAAAGATCAATTAATTTTCTTTCTGAAACTAGCGCAATAAACACCCCGAAAATCTCCAGTAAGTAATGTGCCATAATCTCATCTTTACATTTCTTTCACGAAATTATTTTCTGCTGAGGGATAGTGCAAGAACTTAGGGTTTTACTCAATCTTATTGAATCAATGAATTTCCGGTGAAAAATGCATTTTTCTTGAATTCTTGGACGTGCTTTTTTTGGAAGTTTAGTTTCGAGCAGAGTTATATTTTATGATTATGAAGTGTTGTTGAATATGCAGATGTGAAGTATGGTGCCGAGTTCTTGAAATAAAAAGAAAAAATTGCCAGGACAAAAAGAAGAATAGACCATGAGTTCACCCAAGCCATTGCTAGTATTGCCGTCTCCAGGTATGCTCTAGCCTAGGGTATCAGAGCTTCAGCAGTCTGCTCTTGACACCCTTCTGAATGTTGGGGTGAGGTACATTAGAAAGATTAGAAAAAACTGCTACGTCTGGTGCTTCCAATGTTAATGGTTGTCTTTCTGGCTCTGGAGTAGTTAGGGACATTATTCAATTGAATCACTACGTCGATGAAGCTGAGGAATTCCCATTTTGCGTATTCATTTCTGACTTTTCCAGTCATGAAAGAGAGAGAGTTCCATGCAAGTTTTGCACAAATGGGTGAAAACCCTTCTGATGATATGCTTGGTATTTGCAAAAGTTTCCAGGTACTAAGACTGGTGTGGATTTGAATTCAAGGGAAAATAAGTAGAGCTTGCAGTGTAGGGTAGAATTGAAGAGTGGCACATGTAGGTGGACAGATATTTGTTGAAGTTGAAGCATGGTTAGCTGATGATGAACCTGGGTATGCTGCAACGTGCAGTGGAAAGTAACCCGTTTCTTGCCTGACCTCTTCAGTTTGAGAAAGGAGGTCTATTTACCTGTTCTTCCGGCTAAACTAATAGTTAAGGCTACAGGAAAATGCCAGAATCATGCAGTTTTGAAGAACCATGTTTTGGCTTTAGAGCCATTTGCCCCTGGCGACGATGCTATTGGGGCAAGTAATTGTAAATTTAAACAGGACAAGAGAGATGTTCGGCTTAATGAGAGGACGATTATAAATTTTGAAGTTTGGAAGTAACAGGAATTGATCAGGTACCGCAATGAGCTCTTGGAATGAGGGAGTTGAGAAAATTGCTCTTTGGTTCAAATTGGAAAAGACGACAAGACGAGGAGAACAGTGCAAAATCACAGAAAAAATAAGGAAAATTCCGGAGCCTGGATCGTGTAAATTAGGCATATTTGACTGAACTTTGTGTACTTGTTTAGGGAACTAAAGGGATCCTTTTCCAACTTTCACTAGTTCTTGAGGCCTGTTGTTGTCACTCATCGAC